CCCAATCGAGTACAGTAGCACTGTGTGGGCATGGCCCGAACATCTCATTTACCAGCATACTTACCAGGAGGCACACCACCACGCCAAGTTTTAAAGGGGCAGCCACCACTCATGGACCCAAGGACTGGCTGTAAGAGCAGTTACAGTAGGAGATACCAGCCAGGGTCCTCTCAGGGCTGGGCAAGTGTTGGTGCCTGGCTGTACTTCCCTGGCCCTGCCACTCAGGGACTTAAAGCCCGCCTTCATTCCTCTGTGCCTGTTACCTACTGCGAGACGCTTTTATTATTTTCTTTTTTTTTTTAATTTAATTTATTTTACATCCTGGTCACAATTTCACCTTCCTCTTCTCTTCCCAGTTCCTCCCCCACCCCACCCCTTCTGTTCCCACATCCCAATCCACTCCTCCTCTGTTTCTGTTTAGGAAAAGGCACGTCTCCCATGGACATCAACCAAACATGGCATATCAAGTTGCAGTAAGACTAAGCACCTCCCATGTATTAAGGATGGGCAAAGCGACCCAGTAGGAGGAATAGGGTCCCCAAAGCCCGTCCCAGCTGTTAGGAGTCCCACTAGAAGACCAAGCCACACAATGTAACATATATGCAGAGGGCCTAGGTCAGTCCCATGCCGGCTCCTCGGTTGTTGGTTCAGTCTCTGCAAGCCCCTGAGCCCAGTTAGTTGATTCTGTGAACTTTCTTGTGGTATCCTTGACATTCTGGCTCTACAATCCTTCCTCCCTTTCTTCCACAGGGTTCCCTGAGCTCTGCCTAATGCTTGGCTGTGGGTCTGCATCTGTTTCTCCTGTAAGATGCTTTAATATGTGCGAAGATTTTAGTGACTCTCAACCGGGCTGGCGCTGTCAAACCTGGGGTTTGAGTGGCAGCCACACTTCCAGTGACCTGAGGACAGATTTCACAAATGGGTAGGGTTTTGTACCCAGCCGTTGACTCATCCCAGCAAAGACTTCCTGCTCCCATGTAGACAAAGGATCTGCAGCTGGGCAGGTCCCCTGGGCCCTCTGTGAGCCTCTCCCATGAGCTAGTTCACTCACCATCACAGGCAAGGACTGGGTGCAGATGGACTGAACTCCTGCGGGCCACCTACTGGGTTCATCACCTCCAGCATCAGCCTCTCTCCCTCCCGACACCTGCCAAGATTTGTCCTCAGTGCTGCGGCCACCATCAGTGCCACACGGCGCTAGGTGCACCTGGGTTAAGCAGTTCACATCACGCTTAGCCCAGCTTCCTCTCCAGGCCACTGTCACAGATGGGCAGATGTCAAGTGTGTCACTTCCACTCCTGCCCCATGGCTCTCTGCATGCCAGTAACCAACGCACCCAAAAAGAGTGAAGCAGTCACCCTGTTTAAAACCCTAGGAGGGCCACAAAGGAAACTGTCTCGACAGGGGACCCTGAATGAAGTGGCCCTTACCCATCTCCTCACACATTTTTCTGCTCCTCCTCCTCCCCTCCTCAGGTGCTGCATGCCAGCCACACTGCCTCGTCCCACAAGACTCCTCACCAACTTAGCAGGTGACCATCCTTCCCCTGGAATGTCCTAAGTTGCTGGTTTTCTTCACACCGTCCCTTACCACTGAGCCGGTCTGTGTTGTGTCCTACAGGAAAGCAGGTACAGCCTTGCCCCTCCTCTCAACTCTCCAAGGCCAGCACAGTGAGCGAGCGCTAGGATCTGCTGACAGTGTATGTGTGCATCCGTCATTTCTCCATGCAAGAGCTCTTATTGTGAGGGAACTGAGGCAGGCCATTTCAGCCATGGTGGAAAAGTTACTGCCAGCTCCTCTGGCCCTCAGAAGTTTTTGAAGATGTTACACAAATTGGTGTCTTATGACGTCCATCATATCCAATGTCTCATTTCTTGTCAAATCAGTGGGAAGCCAGATGTGGCGGCTCACACAAGCCAACTCAGGCACTGGGGTGGTGAGGCTAGCTTGGGCTCGTTTTAGATCTTACCTCACAGAAAACCCCTAAAACTCAGTGACAGAACACTGGCTCTGGCGTCCCGCAAGAGTACCTCTTGCTTCCCGTGGTGCTGGGCTAGCAACCTGTCCACACACCACCGTCTTTAGTGAAGACATCCAGAGCTGCTTTACAGCTGGCTATGGAGACTCCTGGCACAGAACAGGGCGGGCATGAGCAAAGCAGGCAATGTTAATCTGCACTAGTACAGCTACCCGGGAAGGGGCATCTCCACCCTCTCCCGGCCATCGGTCACACGCTGGGCACTCAGGCGGCAGCAGCTGTGGTGAATGGAACACAGTCCGGGTCCGGTTAGAACTGTTTTCACACTCTGTAAACCCGACTTACCAGCTTCATTGCAAGGCACTTCATCTCTGCTCTACCTCCCCACTGCCTGAGATACACCAACTCCCTCCTTGACCTCCATGAGCTTCCAGACCTATGGATACAGAGCAGTAAAAACGCACACGCTGCTGTGTTCCAGCTGTCTGAAAGCTGCATGCCTGCTTTTCTATAAAAGAAAAATTGGGAGTACTGTTTTTTTTCATCTTTTTATTGCAACTTTCAAAAATATTTCAAGAATTTATCCTTACTATCTTTAGTTATGTGGATGTGTTTGGGAGGAGGGACAGGTTCACGAAAGTTTAGGTGTCTGAGGAGGCTGAGGCAGGCACTGGATTCCTTGGAACCTGAGTGCTGGGCACTGGAGTCCTTTGGAGGAGCAAGCACCACAAGGCCACCTCTCTAGCCCCTCAAAACACCTTCTATAACAAACTCCAAACACACCCGTGTAAAAATAACACACCTGAAACAAGCTTCAGAGAGCAGTCCACCGTGTCCCAGTCAGTGTACTCTGCTCTCTGAAAGTGATGTCACACCCCAATGAACTGGCTTTAAGCAGTCTTCATGCACACAACGAAACCCCACCAGGTTAGAGGGCAGAGAGAAACGCTATCCCACACTGAGTCCCCATTTATCCCTCAGGACGAGAGTGTTGCTCTCCGCTCACGGCCACCTGCCATGCGTGAGGTCCACAGGCCGCTGTTTGGGAAGCTTGTTTGGACTGATCTCAAACACCCAGTTCTAGGGCTGGGGGATGCTACTCAGTTGGTAGAGTGCTTGCCTATCATGTGTGAAGCCCTGGGCATCGATAAACCAGGTGTAACGGCACACACCTATACTCCAATGGATGCAGATCAGTTCAAGGCTATCCTCAGTTACACAGCAAGTTTGAGGCCAGCCTGGGCTACTCACCCAGCTCTGCCTAGAACAGGCCTTATGTACATTAAGCTCCTGAGAACAGTGAACCACAGGTGACAGTGGCACAGCACTGTCACAGGCCACTTAACACAACCCCCCAGCCTGCGGTCCAGCCTCGTCCACAGTGTTCTCCCTGTGAGACCCCCCAGCCTGTGGGCCAGCCTCATCCACAGTGTTCTCACTGTGAGACCTCACAGCTTGTGGTCCAGCCTCGTCCACAGTGTTCTCCCTGTGAGACCCCCCAGCCTGTGGGCCAGCCTCATCCACAGTGTTCTCCCTGTGAGACCCCCCAGCCCGTGGGCCAGCCTCGTCCACAGCGTTCTCCCTGTGAGACCCCCCAGCCTGCGGTCCAGCCTCGTCCACAGCGTTCTCCCTGGGAGACCCCCCAGCCTGCGGTCCAGCCTCGTCCACAGCGTTCTCCCTGGGAGACCCCCCAGCCTGTGGTCCAGCCTCGTCCACAGCGTTCTCCCTGTGAGACCCCACAGCCTGCGGTCCAGCCTCGTTCACAGCGTTCTCCCTGGGAGACCTCCCAGCCTGCGGTCCAGCCTCGTCCACAGCGTTCTCCCTGTGAGACCTCCCAGCCTGCGGTCCAGCCTCGTCCACAGCGTTCTCCCTGGGAGACCTCCCAGCCTGCGGTCCAGCCTCGTCCACAGCGTTCTCCCTGTGAGACCTCCCAGCCTGCGGTCCAGCCTCGTCCACAGCGTTCTCCCTGTGAGACCCCCCAGCCTGCGGTCCAGCCTCGTCCACAGCGTTCTCCCTGGGAGACCTCCCAGCCTGCGGTCCAGCCTCGTCCACAGCGTTCTCCCTGGGAGACCTCCCAGCCTGCGGTCCAGCCTCGTCCACAGCGTTCTCCCTGTGAGACCTCCCAGCCTGCGGTCCAGCCTCGTCCACAGCGTTCTCCCTGTGAGACCCCCCAGCCTGCGGTCCAGCCTCGTCCACAGCGTTCTCCCTGGGAGACCCCCCAGCCTGCGGTCCAGCCTCGTCCACAGCGTTCTCCCTGGGAGACCCCCCCAGCCTGCGGTCCAGCCTCGTCCACAGCATTCTCCCTGGGAGACCCCCCAGCCTGCGGTCCAGCCTCGTCCACAACGTTCTCCCTGTGAGACCCCCCAGCCTGCGGTCCAGCCTCGTCCACAGCGTTCTCCCTGGGAGACCCCCCAGCCTGCGGTCCAGCCTCGTCCACAGCGTTCTCCCTGGGAGACCCCCCAGCCTGCGGTCCAGCCTCGTCCACAGCGTTCTCCCTGGGAGACCCCCCAGCCTGCGGTCCAGCCTCGTCCACAGTGTTCTCCCTGGGAGACCCCCCAGCCTGCGGTCCAGCCTCGTCCACAGCGTTCTCCCTGTGAGACCCCACAGCCTGCGGTCCAGCCTCGTCCACAGCATTCTCCCTGGGAGACCTCCCAGCCTGCGGTCCAGCCTCGTCCACAGTGTTCTCCCTGTGAGACCTCCCAGCCTGCGGTCCAGCCTCGTCCACAGCGTTCTCCCTGGGAGACCTCCCAGCCTGCGGTCCAGCCTCGTCCACAGCGTTCTCCCTGTGAGACCTCCCAGCCTGCGGTCCAGCCTCGTCCACAGCGTTCTCCCTGTGAGACCCCCCAGCCTGCGGTCCAGCCTCATCCACAGCGTTCTCCCTGGGAGACCTCCCAGCCTGCGGTCCAGCCTCGTCCACAGCGTTCTCCCTGGGAGACCTCCCAGCCTGCGGTCCAGCCTCGTCCACAGCGTTCTCCCTGGGAGACCCCCCAGCCTGCGGTCCAGCCTCGTCCACAGCGTTCTCCCTGGGAGACCCCCCAGCCTGCGGTCCAGCCTCGTCCACAGCGTTCTCCCTGGGAGACCCCCCAGCCTGCGGTCCAGCCTCGTCCACAGCGTTCTCCCCGGGAACCAGTCATTACAGCTACCCGACCATGGACCGCTTTCTCCCTCTCAGCCGCACCTCATCTAACTTCTTCAGCACTGGACTGGACTTCTTGGAGGAAGCACCGTAGCTCTTCAGAAAGGCTTCAAACACAGCCTCGGTGTGGGGGTGGGTGCTGAGGAAGGCCTTCTCTAGGACATAGAGGTCGACGCCTTTATCTTCCGGCAGTCCCGAAACAAAACTCAGGCCGAAGTCGATGAGCACAATGTGCAGCTGCTCCAGGGGCCGTTTCAGGAGCATGTTGGAGGTGGTGAGGTCCCCGTGAATGAGGTCTTCATCGTGCATTCTAGCCAGAACCTGCCCCATTCTCCTGGCCAAGCCCATGAGGCACTGGGGGTCTTTCTCAGTCTCCATAGTGGACTGAATATAATCGCGAACAGTCACCGAGTCTTCGATTTCTTCCATATATAAGCAGTTAGAAGCATAGTCCACGAAGAAGACAACTGGAGCAGCTATCCCTGTAACGAACACACACGTGGTTAGTGAGTGTGTTCTTTATGAAGGCAGGCGTCACCTGCACAGGGGAGCCGGTCTTTATGAAGGCAGGCGTCACCTGCACAGGGGAGCCGGTCTTTATGAAGGCAGGTGTCACCTGCACAGGCAGAGCCAGTTTTTCCGTCTAAATCTACTTACTCTGGAACAGGTGTAGGAATGCTGTGGAAATGACATCTTAACCAGAAGCTTGCCCTGCTCAAACCCTGCAGGACTAGGGCCTGAGACCAGCCCAGGGTACATCTGCAAGTGTCAAAGCTTGCTCCTCCTTTCTCAAGCCACCTTAGGACTGGAATTCATTGCTACAAAAAACCAAACGAAACAAGAAGCCAGAAGGGAAGCCTCCTCCAGTCTGACAGCTTCTTCCTGATGAGGAGGAGGCTAAGTAGCATGTCATCTTACGGACTCATCTTTTTTCTAGAACGGCGGGTTCAAATCCCACCTCCCTCCTCATTAGCTGTGAAACCTCAAGGTTCCATTAGCTTCTCTGTCTGAGTTTCCACTACTGTGATGTGGTAACAAAAGCTCCAATAACTCCAGGAGTCTCTCCTGAATGTCAACCTCGTTCAGGACCTGTTAATGATGGTAGCCACCATCTGCGTCTGATAAAACTTATAAAAGGTGAGACAGAAAATATGAGCACTACTTTATAACTCCATTAACTCCACGAAGGCAAGAAAATACCGGCCTGGTCATTGTGGAGTCTCTCCAGATGGCCCTGCACCTATTAGTGCCCCATGAGGAGTCTACGCCTAAAAACCAGTAAGTGTAAAAGCAAAGGGCCAACGCTTCTGAGCCACAGATAGCCCACCTGGTGGCTGTGGAACCTTGGGCACTTTCCCTTTGTGCTTCAGTTTCTCTGGAGGGCAGTTTTGTCGGTGGGGGTGTAAATAATGTTAAGAAAAAAAATAATCATTTAATGAAATCAGACGTTTATTGACTTCTTTGTCAGCATACAACATGTGACACATAGACCTTCTCTAGTGATCACAACATCCCTGAGATTCCCACTACACACAAGGAAACTGAGGCGCCCGGATGGGGGGGTTCTAAACGACTTGCTGAAGGGCCAGGAGGGAAGCAGCGCTTAGAATCTGAATCCGGAGAGCCTGGCTTGTCCAGTCCCGCTTAAAACTTAAAACTACCTGCTTAAAACTACCAAACGGAAGGGGGAGGACGGTAGGCAGAAACGGGGAAACTGAGGCTAAAGGACAAGTTGAGAGACAGCTGCGGAGCTGCGCGCAAACCAAGCAGAATGGCGTTCCCGCGCTACGTTTTGAGTTCTTTTTTTTTTTTTGGTTTTTCGAGACAGGGTTTCTCTGTGTAGCTTTGCGCCTTTCCTGGAACTCGCTTTGGAGACCAGGCTGGCCTCGAACTCACAGAGATCCACCTGGCTCTGCCTCCCGAGTGCTGGGATTAAAGGCGTGCGCCACCACCGCCCGGCTCGTTTTGAGTTCTTAAGCATCGCCGTTCCGTCCCTTGTCCCGGACCTCGGAGCCCTGTCCTGTCCAGTCCCGTCCCGTCCGGTCTCCCCGGCCTCGGAGCCCTGTCCAGTCCCGTCCCATCCGGTTTCCCCGGCCTCGGAGCCCCGTCCAGTCCCGTCCCGTCCGGTCTCCCCGGCCTCGGAGCCCCGTCCCGTCCCATCCGGTCTCCCCGGCCTCGGAGCCCCGTCCAGTCCCGTCCCGTCCGGTTTCCCCGGTCTCGGAGCCCCGTCCCGTCCCGTCCCGTCCGGTCTCCCCGGTCTCGGAGCCCCGTCCCGTCCCGTCCCGTCCGGTCTCCCCGGCCTCGGAGCCCCGTCCCGTCCGGTCTCCCCGGTCTCGGCGCCCAGTCCAGCCCCGTCCCGTCCGGTCTCCCCGGTCTCGGAGCCCCGTCCCGTCCCGTCCGGTCTCCCCGGCTTCGGAGCCCCGTCCCGTCCGGTCTCCCCGGCCTCGGAGCCCCGTCCAGTCCCGTCCCGTCCGGTCTCCCCGGTCTCGGAGCCCCGTCCAGTCCCGTCCCGTCCGTCTCACCCGCGCGGCGGCAGCGGAGCAGCGCGCGCGCCTCCTGCACCGTCCTCCGCCGGCCGAGCCGCGCCTCCAGCGCCGGGTGCCGGTAGCTCTTGGGGAAGCGGTGCTTCACCACGGCCGCGCGGCCCTGGAAGCGGCCGCGGAAGACGCGCGCCTCGGCGCCCTGCTGCACCAGCTCCAGGCCGCTCAGGAAGAGGCGGCTCCGCTCGCGCGCCGCGGCCAGCGCCTCGGCCTCCGCCTCCCGCTCCGAGGACGCCTCGGCCATGCCTCCGGCTCGTCCCGACCCCGGCAGCGCCGCTTCCGCTCGCTTCGGAAATCCTCGGGCCTCTTCCGCCACACGACACCGTCCCGCCCCCCACTTCCGCCCTCCCGGAGCCGTTCCGCCTGGCGACCGTCTTGAGTTCGGGCCCTCGGGACGCGCGACTTGACCCTTCCCGCAGTTCTTCGTCTATCTCCGTGAGCGCTCGGCAACTTTCGGTCAACAGCGTCTCACTTTCGGCTTTCTCCGGAAAGCCCGTTGGTGATACTCAGGCTTTGAGAGCCGTCTCCAAGTTGGAAGCTCTTTGGGGAAAACTCTTTTGTGGATGCTCTGCTCCTTTCTGCTAGGGTATTTTCCTTTTTCCTTCCCTTTCTGTTCTTTTCCTTTTCTTTCCTTTCCTTGTTCCTTTTTTCTTTTTCTTCCTTTTTGAAACAGGGTCTCGCTGTGTAGCTCAGGTTAGCTTCGAACTCATGATCTTCCCACTTCAATCTATGGAAAATTGATCTTTAAGCGGAGGGAGGAAAGGGCTAGGCAGACCTAGCCTGGACCTGGTGCCTGACATCAGCGTGTCAGCAGCCAGCACCATCCCTGATTCTGCTGGGGCCAGGGCTTATCAGAATAAAAGAGGCTGATTTCGCGATGCCGGCGGTCAGGAGCCACCTCCCTGCACCTGGCCCATGCTCCTTGGGGTCCTGTTGAAAATACAGAAGAGAAGCCCTTTGGACCCGGGGTTGCTATGGCACCAGCATCCCGGCTCTGTGGTTTCGTTCATACTCATGACAGGACCCTTTCCACACATCAGACCCTGTGTGTAGGCAGGATGTTTTCCAGCAAAGCTCACCCAGAACCGGTTCCCTTTATATCCCCCAGTGCTCAAGTTTGTAGCTTCGTTATCATAATTGTTTGTGTCCGCACAGCCATTGCTATGGTGACCAAAACCATTGGAATCCACAGTGCAAAGGCACTGACAGAGCCAAGCTTGCTAAGTCAGACTGGGTTCAGCTCTTTAAACCCGAATCAAATTTTCAATGACTCGCTACTGTGCTGCGGATAGAGTACCCGAACCTTAATTCAGCCCGTGAGGCCCTGCAGGGAACTCCTGCATCTCTTGTAGACCCTTCCCTCACCAGACGACCCCCCACCTGCTCCCTCTGCATAGAACCTTTGCATCTGCTTTTTCCTCTGGGAGAAATGTTCTTCCAGCCCCTCATCACCTAGATCCGTGTAGATATATCTTTTATTCACAACTCCAGGGTCACTTCCTAGACAAGCCCTTCCTGGCCTCTCTGAGGAGAGGGAGTCCAATTTTTATCAGCCCTAGTTTTCTGGTTTCCAACCTGTCTCGGATTCCCTTTGGTTTTGGCCATGAGACTACTTGATTGATTCCTATGTCGCTCTATGTAGCTAGCAGCCAGGCAGAGGACTGTGTGGATCCCACGGTTTCCCCCAGCGCCAGAGAAGTGGGTACTGGCCTCTTTGGGATGGAAAAAAAATAGAGCTGGTGCATGCCTGTGATGCCAGTGCTCAGAGGCTGAGGCAGGAGGCTGCAAGCCCGAATTACTTAGTGAGACTTGAGGTATCTAAATTCAAATTTTGACCTTTTAAAAGTGTTTTAGTGGCTGGAGAGATGGCTCAGTGGTTGAGAGCACTGACTGCTCTTCCAGAGGTCCTGAGTTCAATTCCCAGCACCCACGTGGCAGCTCACAACTGTCTGTGATGCCAGTTCCAGGGACCCAACACCCATGGTAAAACACCAATACACACTATAAATAAATAAATAAATTCTCTCTTTTTTTGAGAATTTCATATAATATATTTTGTGACTTTTAACTGCCGAACGGTGAAGGGGAGTTGATGACTTCTTATCTCTCTGGGTGCTGAAAGGGTAGTTTAGAGATACAGGTGGAGACCTTAAAGGTGCTGAATGAGAAAATGAATTGCCTGGAGAGATGGGAGACAGGCTAGTCCTCAGGTGGCCTCTGTAACTTTGCAGAAGAGCAGGAAGCTGATGACTGATGGTGGCAGGGACCCTCTTCATTTGGTTATTTCTGGGAGCAGACAGTAGTAAAGTGCAAGTCTGAGTGTAAAGTCGTGTCAGAAAGGAGTGTGGCAGGGACGGGAGGCTACATCCAGTGAGAAGTGGGTTGGCCAGCTACATTCCATGAGGGGCAGCAAGTTCCTGCTCAGAACAAGAGCCAATGCAGAGAGCGAGTGTCTTCTATAATGGGGAGGGTCCTAAGAATATGGAATTTCATCCAGGAAGAGGGGTGGGGATGGGCTGCAAGCCTGCAGCAGAGAGCGACTCCCTCCAGGACAAGGGCTGTCCTTAGCAGCTGTGAGCTCTCCCCTCACAGCCAGCTCTATGCAAGCTCCCAGCTCGTTTCATCCTTTCAAGAATTCTACCACGGCAGAGAGAAGCGGAGAGTTTGTCTCTCTCTAGTTCTTGCCCAGACTGTAAACAAACCCCTTCCATTCACTAATTCTTGCCTCCTAGATTTTTGACAAAGCCTGCAACAGTGACCCTGAGACCCCTGGGTCACTGAGGCACTGCTTCCCAACAGCCATGGGTGAGGGCCACCCACCCCGGGGTGACTTACAAGGTGCTCCTGGCCTGCCCCAGTGGCAGAGCGGGGACAGAACATGTCTCCACATGGCTTTTGTTACTCTGAGTAGACCTTTATAACTTTACATTTTTACCATCATATACAGTATATTCTAAACCAGAGGTGAATTGCATATATAGTATGTTGTATGTAAGTTCAGATGGTGCCAAACGTATTTCCCTTTCCTTTTTTTTTTTTTTTTTTTTAATAGTTTTTCATGGCAGGGTTTCTCTGGGTAGCCCTGGCTGTTCTGGAACTCGCTCTGTAGATCAGGCTGGCCTCGAACTCACAAAGATCCACCTGCCTCTGCCTCCCGAGTGCTGGGACTAAAGGCGTGCGCCACCACCACCTGCTTATTTCCCCTTTCTTTAAGCTTGCTTGTTACTTGTTACCGCCCTAGTCATGAGTAATGAAAATGTCCCCACCCTGGATGGCACTATACCCAAGGGAGGCCTCTAATCTCCCCCCCACACACACACACACACAAGTGTACCCTCAGAGATCCCAGGGCAGCATCAATCTTCAGCCACCAGGTCGAGTAGATCTGACAGACTTTCCTGTGGAGGAGGAATTTGGGGGACTGGCTTACCTCATCTAGGCAAAGTGGGGCAATCTGTGGTGATATATTGTGTCCCCCAATATATTGTGCATCCTAATAAACTTACCTGGGGTCAGAGAACAGAACAGCCACTAGATATAGAGGCCAGAAAATGGTGGCACACACACCTTTAATGCTAGCATTCTAGAGGCAGAGATCCGTCTGGATCTCTGTGAGTTCAAAGCCACACTGGAAACAGCCAGCCATGGTGCCACACACCTTTAATTACAGGAAGTGATAGCAGGAAGCAGAAAGGTATATAAGGCGTGAGGACCAGGAACTAGGCCTGGTTAAGCTTTTAGGCTTTTGAGCAGCAGTACACTGAGATCCATTCAGATGAGGACTCAGAGCCTTTCAGTCTGAGGAAACAAGATCAGCCGAGATGTTGGCAAGGTGAGATTGGATCTGGCTTGTTCTGTTTCTCTGATCTTTCAGCGTTCACCTCAATACCTGGCTCCGGGCTTGTTTTTATTAATAAGACCTTCTAACAATTCATGCTACAGCAATCAACTCCCCAGGTGTAAAGGTATAAGAATGTGATTGAAGATATATGTAAAAATGAAAAATTTCAGATTTCTTTCCCTCGCTATGCTATTGTTATATTAAGACTTCAAAAGTTCAGAGTTTTAACATTAATCAATGGCGTTCTGGTAAGCTATTAATTTAGCTCTGGTAAGCAATGGCTTCTACTATAATAGTCACAAGCTCAGGATTTTAAATTTCCTTTGGTTGTCTTCTAAGTATAGAAGACTTAAAAGTGCCTCTCATTGTGCTAGAAACATCTATCTAACCTATAAACACCCAGTCTTCTGGATAGAGGAAAAGGTATTCATGCTTTTAACCCAAAACCATTTTGGGTCCCCAAGCTTCTACAATGTCTCAAAGGCATGAGTCTACTTCCTTTCCTACAGTGTGGGTTTCAGTACGGATTACAAACTGTGGTAACACTAACATATCTGAAACTTTTGCCTCTTTTTATACTCAAAACTTCTTGTAAGCTTCAGGGAATCAACTTGAGTCTGCCTCTCACAGGTCAAATGGACTCCAGATAAGTACTGTCAGTCAGCAGCTGGTTTCCTCACTTGCCTATCCGACTTATAACTGAGGGTGGGATCTCTCCCCCTTCCCTGGTCTTGGGACTTGCCTCCTCCAACTACCAGGACTGGGGGCTGAAAAGTTTCAAATAGACACCTAAGAAAAAGATTTTCCCCTGAACTCCTTCACTTTGCCTTTTGTCACTAATATATATAAAAACTCACCAGCTCCAGGTGTTCCCTCGAAGTCTGCCTGCACTTCCCTAGCCCCAGATGGTCCTGCAGAGCCTGGACAGCAGATGAAATGGCCTGCTCTCCCAGGACTTGGCCAGCATCCCAGCTTTCTTGGGTCCCCAAAGATATCAATGCCTCCAGACAACAGGAAGCACTCTAAAGAGCAAGTCACCCCAATTCCTGCCTCACCAGCCACCCCCTCCTATTTCTTCATATTTTATAATATACAAAAGGGAGGAATATTAGGAATCACCCACATTCCAGAACCAGGCACTCCCCCCACCCCCGCAGCCTGCCTTCAGCAACTCAGCACCAGCAGCCACGTCATCACCAGCTGCCAATGCGACATGATACCCTTTGTAAAGTCGCTGCCATCACGGCCCTCTCTCTACTTAGAGGCAGCCCCCCCCCCCCCAATAATCTGTGTGAGGTCTATCGTGTGGTGTGCTCTTTGTGGCATTCCTTGGCCCCAGCCCACCAAGGTACTCTTATGCTGCAAAGCCCTAGCACTGGAGACCCTCTCCCTTTCCCTGACTTTTTGGTTTCTAGTGTCTGGCAGCCTTCCCAGCACAACTCAACAGATGCATCCTGAGCTAATCACCGAATGGATAGATAAAGGAAGCATTCCTCTTGGGTATGAATTAGGTCCTGCTCACCAGCACACCTCACCTGCCCTACATTGCTGG